AAGGTCGACGGAGGGAAGTTTGGTGTCGCCGGATAGCTGAGGAGCGTGAGTCGCCGGCGTTGGATTTCGAACCTCGGTTGGGCAAATTTTCTACCCTAGCCATGGATGACTCTGCAGAACGAAAGAAGGGTCGCGATTTCTACATCGGGACTCGACCAGGAAGGAGATCGAGTCGTCGGCGGTCATTGGGGTGTGGCCGCGATGCGGTGGCAACGAAGAGGAGGCGTACGATGAAGGAGCGGAACCAATTGATTCCATATGCCATCACCATGATTGTCGGGGAGAAGCAGAACGGGCCGCCGAGCTTGGAGGAGAGAGGCGGGCGTTCTGACGCGTGGTCTCGGAGAATTTCTCCGAGGTATGATGGCCGGAGAAGACGATCGGAGCACCGTCGATCGGAGTATCATCGAGTTTCTAATGGTGGAGAGGAAAATGACCGAAGCTTTGAGAATTTGAGAAGGTTGGCGATGGGCTATAATTCTTTTGGAGGGCCGAGTGCGGTGAGCGTGGCGTACACGTGGTCATGGAGAATTGCTCGGCGGTGTGATAGTTGGAGACCAGTGCTGAGAAGGATTTTGGATTTCTGGGGAAGAGTGGTCGATGAAGGAAGCTTCGAGAATTAGATTTTTGGGGTGCTGCATAAGAATTTGGGTTGGAGCATTATTGAGTTTTTAATTGAGTGTTGGGCTGCCTTGAGAAAAATGGAATTGGGCCAAGAAGGAAAGGTGGTTGGGCTTTGGGATAATAAGGGTGCAGATTCTGGATTTGGGTTGGTTCAATTACTGGCAATTGGACTGGGCCTAGACACCAATAACTTGAAGCCACATCATATTGAAGTGGGATATTTCATGGACTGGACTAACATATGGACCGCTACAAGAATATTTAGCTTTTGGGCATGTGATGATTTGAAGAAAGTAGCCCGTTGGATACAATGGTTGCATTTTCGACATATGAGTCTCGAGGACGAGACTCTTTCAAGGAGGGAGTATTGTCATGTACCCGGTTATGGAGTGGGCCGATTTTATGGTCTAGATATTTTATATTTTGGTATCGGGTCTTTTATGTTGGACTCATTTTATTATGTTTAGTTTTGGGCCTCTATATATTAAATAGCCCATTATGTGAGTTAAGTGGTGAATTGTGTGAGTGGCATGTGAATGAGTATAAAATGCATGTAGGAAAAGTGATTTGCATTATGGAATGAATTAACAAATTTTCTATCTCTCTCTTGCTTCTCTCTCCTCCCAAACTCTCTCTCTCCCTTCAAACACTCTACTCTCTCTCTCATCTTCAATATCTTCCTCCT